AAAAAAAAAAAAAAAAAAAAAAAAAAAAAAAAAAAAAAAAGTGGCAAAATTGTTATCTCGCTTGGATTGATTGAAGTGGCTACATTTTTGTATGTTGCAATTGCAAGTGCTTCTCATTTTATAACGCGGTTTGAATTTAATTATTTGTTGAAAAACTATTAAGTTAAGAAGAAAGTCAGTATTGAATGCTTGAAGACCTTATATGGTTCTCAGAAATCAGAATCTTAAATATTCTGAATTTATAGTTCTTCTGCTGACAGGGGAAAAAATATAGAAATAATGAGACAAACTGATTCCCTCTTATTCAGTGAAATGGAAAGATGAACCATACGTACGTATCCACATAAGGATCACGTGTGCATACATTCCGACCACTTCAACAGAGCACGTAGTCAAAGTTCTACGACGATCATATGTATGTCCATCTCCAAGATTTTGTCTCTGGTACGGTTTATAGGAAAATGTTTTGTGAATAATGAAAAACGAGACAAAAGTTATCTGTTTTGACTTTCAGATATTTTTTACATGTGAAGTGTTAATTTTTTATATAACACAAATTAATTATAGAAATATGGTTGTTAGAAATAAGTGAAATATTAATATCAGTGACATTTTTGTTAATATTTAAATAATTTAATTATCGAACAAAATTATATGCTGATTAAACAATAAAAACTACGTATAATATAGAATTTCACTTAATAAAAAAAATTAAACATATATGTTATAATATGATCGTTGAAATATATAAACAGACACAAGGCAAGAAAGTTTGTAACCCCCATAATATACAAGTAAGAAATTTATGGATATTTTAGCTAGGGCAGTTTCTTGTTCAAACCTAACATACACGGTAAGCAACAAAACGACATGAGAATATTGCAGTGTCGTCGGTGGCCATCATAATAATTGTGGTGGGTCTATTTGCAAGCAAAAAGAGGTGGGGTAGGAGGAGGAGGATGGGGGAGGAAAAGACACGAGTGATTAGAATATATGAAGGTGAAGGTTTTGTTTCTATTTCTTTAGTCTCATATCACAAAGTCATTGAACCAATCAAATCACTTAATAATGAAATGAAATGAAATGAGTTCCGCTAAACCTCTTAATTCTTCTTCCCATCTCTTTCTATAAATTAATTTCGATGAGGTGTCCAACGCCACAAAGTTCTATTAAACTGAGAGTTAGCAGTACAATCACAAATTAAAACCGTTGAATTGCAATATAATGAATGATAAGAACTGGATATCGAATATTTCTGAACCATATAAGTTCTAGTCTCTCCTTGGCATTATCTTATATATAATTACAAATAAAAAAAATACACGTGTTAATATCCACTACACTAAATAATTAATCAAGACCTGACACATCAAGACGTCATCAAGTGTCTCCATTAAAAATCGCTATTAAATTAAAAACTCATTATGTTTATAGTAAATAGATATGTTAACCTTATGTGACACTTAAGAGTTTATTATGTACTGGCTAGCTAGTAGCTAGCTAATGGTATTAAAATATTTGCCTGTGTTTTCATGAAATTCCATATTGTACACACAAAATATGTGCGTCCTTTTTAATGAAATTCCATATTGTACACACATCAATTGCTGTTCGCAATCACGTCTTCGTCCACCCATACATAATACATCATATTAATATTTATGATTAAGTTATATTGTCACTATTTTAAATTTTTCTTATTGTTGACAATAATTTATAATTCTTTAAAAATAAGTTATAAATTGAAAATAGTGTGATATTTTTATAATTAATTATACAAATAAAAACATATAAATATGCTTTTGAATTCAAACAGATCTTTGAATTTTCATAATCAATAGTCTTGACATTGGGTGTGTCATGTGTGTGTAGAACGTATAATGATATTGATCAGATCGAGTTAATTGTTTAAGACTCATAACAATTTTATGAAATCTATTTATGTTATTTTTCTTTTGTTCAACGTGGAATGCTGTGTTTCTAAAAAAACAAAGTGAAATGCTATGCATATAACGTGATAGGCTCATTTGTATGGAAATTCAACAATCAATACAATATAATTTTAAATTTAACTAGAATGCGCTAATTAATAATAAAAATATTTTTTACCCTATCATATATATATATATATATATATATATGTATATATATCCATAAATTATAATTCATGAGAAAATAATTACTTTTATAATACAACCCCTCTAATCAATTTTACAAATAATATACTCAAACAAAATGGCAAAAGAAAATTACTCTTAAAAAAAAGACACTATATATACATAAAAATATACTAGCAAAAAACATGTAATTAGAACAATATATTTCTATTTCTTATAAAATGAGAATAAATATTTAACAAGAGAAATTAAACTATTAAATAAAATATGATTTAATAAGTTTACTATAAATTTGCCTTTTAAGATCATAAAACAAAAACAAAATAGATTTGTTAGTTGATCTACCAAATTAAATGGTTGGAAGATTGATCCACCTGTACAATATTGTAAGGGAATGAGAAATTGTACTAGTACTACAAAAATTTTGTATAAAAATATTTATAATCAAAGGGAATTGGAAGAGAAGAGAGAGATTTGGTGATATTATTTATGATCAATTCCGGATCCGCGGAAGTAGCATCTTAATGAAATTTATTCTTGTTTACACGAGTCATCAACTCTAATATTTGTAAATTCTTACACTCTAATATTTATTCTTGTTACGTCGGGGGTCAAAAACCGACGTAAATTTACGTCGGACATACCCAGGTCCGACGTAAAAAATCGTAAAAATTTAAAAAAAAAAGAAAAATAATGCAGCAGAACGGCCCGTTCTGCTTGGAGAACGGCCCGTTCTCCTTGCAGGACGGGGCATTCTGTTTGGAGAACGGCCCATACTGCTTGGAGAACGGGCCGTTCTCCTTGCAGAACGGCCCGTTCTGCTTCCCAGAAATCGCTTTTCTTCTGCGTTTTCCTCCCAGAAATCGCTTTTCTTCCCAGAATCGCTTCTCTTCTCTGTTCTCCTCAGGCTTGGCTTCAGCCACTGGTTGTTCCTACTCAAAATATATAAAGAAACACACATAATAAGTTCAAAATACACATTTAGTCGTATGAACGCAAACTGCTTGTTTTTGTCGTATGAACGGAGACTGAATGATAGAAAAATTATAAGGAAGGAAGGACCGAAGGAGTAGGAGGCGGAGGGATTTACACAACGAAGAGGAAGAGGGTTTACAGAGAAAAAAATGAAAAGTGAATGCGCGCGGTGTGCCTCGCGCTCTCTTATTCAAATTTGCGTCTTTTTTACGTCGGACCTGGTAGGGTGCGACGTAAATTTACGTCGCACCTGGGAAGGTGCGACGTAAATTTACGTCGCACCTGGGAAGGTGCGACGTAGATTGGACTTTTTACGTCGCACCTGGGAAGGTGCGACGTAGATTGGACTTTTTACGTCGGACCTTACCAGGTGCGACGTAAAAAAGTTCGCAAAAATTACAAAAATGCCACCGCATTTTTTTTACGTCGGATTTTCGTATTTCCGACGTAAAAGGGGTGACGTAATATATTATTTATGATCAATTCCGGATCCGCGGAAGTAGCATCTTAATGAAATTTATTCTTGTTTACACGAGTCATCAACTCTAATATTTGTAAATTCTTACACTCTAAGTTAATGTTAGCATGAGAAAAAAGGGAATGTACAGGCCTATACATATATTATTACCTACGTTTTATAGTAGTGATTCTTACACGAGAAACACTTCTAGGATTAAATCATGTAATTTGCATTGTATCCGAACTTTGGCATTAAATTCAGTGTTTAATTCGTGACTGTATATATTGAGATTGCTATAACGCAAAAAAATTATTTTTGCTCTTGAGCCTTATGAATATATAATTTATCGAGCCTGATGATATTAAACATGAGAATCAGCAATGTGTTCCTTTATTTTAATTGTAGGGTTGATTTCTTCACATAGGTTCAAGACAATTTATATAATAAATATTATATGAATTTATTAAATGCGAGTATTAGGTAGGGGATATGATCCGTAGATCTCAAAGCCAAAAGTTTAGGGTAACGAAAAATGAGAACTGGATTTGTTAGTGGGGAATCCGGAAAAGGACGAAGATAGTTTACATTGGGCTGACAGTTGTTACCCTGGGGCATAGCATATAGGCTTGAGATCCAAGTTTAGAAGTTAGAAAGAAGGTATAAAAAGAAACAAGGCTTACGAGTCAAGTTTTGTAACTTTATTACATAGTGTACGAGTTGCAGAGACGCACATGCAATAATATTTTACGTAAAGAAAACCCAGGTATGTGGTCACGTGATCCAAGGCCACTGCTCAAGCTTCCAAACTTCCACTTTAAGCTTTGCCTGCCCCATTAATAAGGTAGGTAGGTTTCTAGTTCAGTTCATATTTGGAGTGGATAAACATTTCGAATAAATATTATTATTAAAGACATCCTATATACATGACATCCTTCATACTTCTCGAGGTAATTCCATCTTATAAGTTATAACTATTCTAATCCTAATCGAATCAAATGAATTTCTTTCCATACATAATACAGAAATGAGAAAATTTTGTATTATTTATGTCGATCAACATTATCATTTATGGCTCATAGATGTAAGAGGGTCCACAGTCCTCTAGCCTTTAAGTTCAACGTGATAAGAGTATAAAATCAACTTAAGCAAAAAGGTAGCCTTTACCATCTATGACTATACTATCGTCGATGGACCATTGGCCTACGAGTTTTATTATTTACGTCCCTGTTAAATTAATTTTGTATCATACTTGATCTTGAAATGAGTAATTTACTTTCTTTCTATACTAATATATTGACTCGGATACACTTGCATGAATTGCGTTGTATCTGGGGGCGGAACTTAGAAGTGACAGGGGAGCCACGGCTCCACCAAAACTTTTGTAAATTTATTTATTTTTATATATTCATATATATTTTAATATTATATTTATATATTAATTATTATATTATTAACAATAATAAAACTAAAAAACTTTCTAGTTTCTCAAATAAGTATCGTCCACATGTGCCTCGTTACCTGCTCCATTCTCCATTTCATTCATCATTCTCAAACTTGATTCTGCTTAGCTGCTTCTCCATTCTGCAGTAAAAGAAGAACTGAAGAAGAATAATGTAGTACGTACTGCAGTCAGAAATAGCAAAAGAAGAAGCATTGTACGGCAACACTAAAAGAAGAAGAACGCACGGACGAATCACTACTACAAAATCATTATTTTACATCGTCAATTTTACATCGGTTTAGGTAGAACCGATGTAAAAATTAGATACGGTGGCATATTCGTAAATATGAATAGAATATACAGCAAATCTACATCGGTTATATATAAAACCGATGTAATTAGTGAGCATTTTACATCATTTTTAACTAGACCGATGTAAATTTAAATGTGCGGTGGCAGGGTTGTAAATATTTACAAGTATATCTACATCGGTTTTCAAAATAACCGATGTAGTGCCTCAAAGCCAAATGCCAAAGCCAGGTCTCCTTCTTCCCAATCGTCTAGGTCAAGACTCGCCTCCGCGTCACCAGTCTCCTCCTCCACCATTCTCACAACGTCAACAACCCTAACCCTAGTTTATTGTGTCACAGCCCGCATCACTCTTGTGGGCCTTTGGGCCTATGGATGAAATCTTAGATTGGGCGTTTCCTGCGGAGCATTGCGGCGACTGAGTCGCAGCTGTGGGCGGCGTCGGAGTGCGGCGTGCGGTTCTGGAACTTCAAGGATCTTTACTCGTCGTGGTGCGGCGTTGGAGAAGGAGGCATTGTGCGGAGCGGCGACGAGGAGAGCGCGCCGTTTTGGGAGTGGGTGTGGAGTTCGCCGACGCTGTGCTTGGTTGCGGGCGAGGGGAACAGGTTGGGTTGCAGTGGACACAGGGATGGGAAGATTAGGTGCTAGAAGATGGATGATGAGGGTTTGGATGATGGTAACAACTACGATTGGAGCAATCGGTTTAAGGAAAGCTTGTCTTGGCAGGCTCACTGTGGCCCTGTTCTTTCCCTAACGTTCACCTCTTATGGTCAGTCTTCGCTCTTCCCTGTTAACTTTACTGCTCTGCACCAATTATACTTGGGCTTGTTTAGATTAGGATCATTGTTAGCCGTGTTATCTCGTGCTATAGGTGTTTGTTTATCATTTTTTCTTCTTCTTCCAATTGCAAGTTTTAAAGTCGAGTGGGACAAGAAAGGAACAGCTCACTCTTCCCATCAGAAGATGGCTCGTGCCTTGGCCGGGTCGCCTCAGTCTATACTGAGTGGAATCAGAAGCTGGTCGGGTCGGAGCGGTTGGATGGATGAAGGTGTGTTTTTGAACACCGTGTGTAAGGTGTTTGTGAAAATGCGTAGCTGAACTTGCATGTTTAAATGCGGTGTTTTGTTTTTGTTTTTTGTTTATTAGGCTCGTTATCAGGTGAGACCGGAGCAGGTGCAGTGAGTTTGCTGGTGAAGATGGTCTTGCTGTTCTTCTTGTGCATGGTTTTGGTGCCTTCTGGGAGCATTACCGTGACAACATACGTGGTTTAGCTGAATCTGGAAATAGTACTCTTGTGGGCTGAACTATTGAGAGATTTTATTGTTAAATGTTGTGGATGAACCAGTCCACCTTGTTGGCAACTCAATTGGCGGTATGATTTAAACATAATTTGGGTACCTTGCCTAAAAAATCTGTCCGTTTCACACATTACTGCAGTAACTTCCTGTATATAATTCTTTTTGCCTGTTTATTCTTGCTCATGTTGATGAGTCGATCATTTAATTATTACTTTTCTGTACTCAGGTTATCTTGTTGCTATTGTTGCTAGTATTTGGAGTGTTTTGACCAAATCCATTGTTGCTATTGTTGCTATGAGATTGATTATATTGCTAGGTATTGTTTCTATTTAGCAAGAGTTGCTATTTTTTTATGTTGTTGTGGTTATTTTTGTTAACTTGTTATTATTATTTTGATCTAACTTAATTATTTTATTTATGTTTGCATATATAATTATTATATAGTCTCAGCTAGGGAACTGAAACCTGAATTGAGATTATTATAAAATTTGACATGTTTTTTTTTCTTTGTTTCTTTTATTTCAATTAGTTGTTTCATCTAGATTATTTTTATGTTGTCAAAGAGCAGTGTGCACACTAAATGCACGTTAAATTACCTCTTGATCCGTAAATTGTTTTTCTATGGTTTTTGTGTTTGTGTGCAGCTTAGTTTGCCTACCAGGGGTAACTTTAATATTCTGAAAATACCAGTAGTAGCCTATATTGGAAAAATAGGGGAAATCAAAATAAGTAGCAGTCCTAAGAATATGCTGTAAATATATTAGAACATGATGTTTTTTCCTTAACAATCAGCTACAGCAGCTTGTTATTTGCAAAGTTGATTCCCAACTAATTTCTTCATGAAGAAAGCAGTTGAAACCCTGGGATAAAATCTTGCCCTGTTAGAAACCAGAAAAGGATAATGTGAATTAGAGTTTAATAAACATGTTTACGAGTTATCAGCATAAAGAGAAATTACAGTGTAAAACTAAAAGGTTCTTCATTCAAAATACCACAAAAATTATGTATATTATCCCATGGATTTCAGTGAGCAGGAGAAAATTAATTTGCATTTCCAACTTCAACATTTCATTGTTGATGCTCGTCAAGATTCAAATTTGAAGAATTTATCAACAATGCAAGAGTTGTGTACATGTTTGGCAACAACAAAAAAGTCAGAAGTTTACTACTTGATTGATAGATTACTTCGTCTTATCATGACTCTTCCAGTTTCTACAGCTACAACTGAAAGATCTTTTTCTGCAATGAAAATAATCAAGACTAGGTTGAGAAATAAGATGGAAGCTGACTTTTTAGCAGATAGTATGATCGTTTATATTGAAAGGGATATTGCAACAAGTTTTAGTTCTGACTCAATTATTGAACATTTTAAGTCATTGAAAGAGCGAAGAGCAGCACTTTAACTAAAGGTAACTTCTGTTTATGTTTATATTATTTTAAACTTTATGTTAGGCTTGCATTTAAAATTTTATATGTATATAATAATGTCAATATTTAATTTATGCAACTGCTCCTGAATTTTGGCCCACTTAAAAGTAATTATTGGCTTTTGGATGATTCTTTTTGCTTGACTTGCATTGCACAATTTTGGGTATGCCGTGTACAAGTGATACTATACAATACAAGTAGCTTGGGCTATGTTAAATATATTATTTTGGATCTCATAGGAGACAAGTGTACAACTTATCTTGGAATTTACTTCAACTACTTTGGTTTGCTTTATTCCAGGTAACCTTTGACATTTAATGATAATCTTTTATGATTATTTTATGAAATGACTAGTGAATGATAATACTTTTTCTTAGATTTCATTATTATACATGTTTATTTTGAGTAGAGAAAGTGAAAAATTATGTTATTTTTTTAATTAGTAAAAAAATTAATTTATATATAAAAAAATTAATTTGGCACCTCCAAATTTTTTATCCAAGTTCCGCCACTGGTTGTATCATTCAATATATATACCATTTAGATCAGTGCGGAAGAAATCTTTTGGGAGAAGTCTGTGCAAAAAGATTTTCAGGAAATTTTTTTTAGCATATTTTAAGTAGAAAATACAAAGATATTTTAAACCATGAGATCAGAAAAAATCAATGATAAAGATGAAGCCAATGGAAATATGACGAAAAATGTGGGCACATGGGCCGCCATGTATATATAATTTCTCATAGATTTAAGCTATACATTATAATAAAATTTATTATAAGTGATAATTATTTAATAATAAATTAATTATTTTTTATTTTATTATTTAATAAAAAAATATTAATAACTAATAAATAATAATCATTAAAATGTATTCACATTATACCAAAATTTATTATTAGCAATAATTATTTAATAGTAATAAATTAATTATTTATATTTTATTATCTAATAAAAATATTAATAACTAATAAATAATAGTCATTAGAAATACATTTATAAAAATAATCATTAAAAATGATCATTAAAAGTAATAGTAGTTTTTAATTCATTTTATTGAAAAAAAACCTTAAATCTCACATCAACTATAAATGAGACAATTAAAGAGTATATAAATGGATAACAACTCTCATCTTATAAGTTAGTTTTGTAAGGTTGAGTTAGATTCATAAATCATTATTCTTTAGGATTATATTGGAAAAAAACTCAAGTTCCACATTAATTAGAAATAAGACAATTAAAGATTATATAAGTAAAGGACAACCTTTACCTTATAAGTCTCATTAAAAAAAATATAAACTATAAATCATTTCTTAAGTTTTTAGTAGCAATAGAAAAAAATACTAAATGTCACTAAAAGAAATGCCACAAAAATTCATGTTTTTTTTCAACTATTATAAAGGTCTTTATTAGCATATAAAATTAATTGTCAATAAATATTTTATCGATACTACATACAATAACTAATGTGTAAAATATTTTTTAATCATTTATATTATCGCTAAAAATAATATTAAATGTCACTAAAACACTATTTTATTATAACAATAATCCAAAAAATAAATAAATGATATGGGATGAAATTGTGTATACTAAATGCTAAAATTAATTACAGCGCAATGAGAAAGAGACACGGGAAAAGCAAACATGACTGAATTGGAGTGAAAGACAATCGATCTATACTGTTTTTTTGTTTTCATTTATTTATTCGTCATATTAACTTATCTAATGAAGCTTTTTCTTAGCTGGACCTTTACGATATTTTCTCAAAGTTGTGCTGTTGGGTGGGGCACCATTCAGTGTAAATATCAGTCTCTTGCTGTTTGTGGTCAACATAAATCTCATATATAGCACAACCACAAAAATATACAAATCAATAAAACTAACAAACAAGAAAAACTCGAGTCCAAATCTTTAATATATATGTATGTGTGTGTGATTTTTATGGATTAAAAAAAAACTTGAGGTCGCATGCTCATCCACCAATAAACTGAACCCATTCGAATGAGATGCGATGATTTTGACCTAAGCCCTTTGCTCTAGAAAAAAGCAAAATAAAAGTATGCTCTTTGCCTTGGCAATGGCATGAGCAATAGGATCCTTGATAAATGAATATCAATATGGACATTTTTAAGTTGAATGATTACAAAAGTGTTTGGTGCCTAATGCTGCTTAAATTTCTTGCCTATTTTTAGGCCCGCCCAGGAAACATAGGCTCCAAGCCCACAAATATCTATCTGTTTTTGGCAATAAGAACATCATCATAAAACAACCACTATCATAAAAGCTTAGTTGTCTAGATTTACAAGTATTTTTTAAATAGAATAAGTAAGACTTATGATATATACACCTTCATTCTATTATTATAAGTACACCTTTTTATTTAAAAAAATCTTAAAATATATTTAATTTTTTATATTTAGATATCTAATATTCAATTTAGTATTTTTTTTATTTTTTACATACATCTTTTTTTTTTCCCCGACTCGTGATATATATATATATATATATATATATATATCTCTTAAGTATACCTCTTTTTATTTTTCTCATAAAAATAAATTTTTGAAATATCATGAATGTAAAAAAAAGTAAGGAGAAAATCATAAGTTAAATAATAAAGGAGTAAATTTTTTTTAAAAGAATATAGGATAAAAAATTAAAAATATTTTAAAAAATAAAAAAGAAGTGTACTTACAAAAAAAAAATAGTGTATATATCATGAGCCAATAAATAATGTCTCCAATACTCCGTAACTGTGGGCTTCAAACCCTGAAAGTAATCAACAAGGTTCCTTAGCCTCGAAAAAATAGAAATATCAGCCTGTGTTCTTTTGAATTAGGATCCTTTCCATTTTCTTTTTCTCTATTTTTTTTATTACAAAAATTTAAAAAATATAAACATAACTCATCTTAAAATATACATCAAATTTATCAATTTTATTTTATAGATTTTTAAAAAAAATTAAGAAATGGAAAGAATCCATTTTCTATTCTTTTTGGGAGATGTTTGGCCGATATATAATTAGTTAATGGACGCATGTGATGCACAAGTGAGAATTGTGAGACGTATCCTATATGAGATGTATTCTATTTAAAAAGTAGTTACATAAATCAGATCATCATTTTAATAATTAATCAGTTAGTGAAATTACAAAAAAAACAAAATTTAAAAGTAACTAAAATAACTAATATTGAATTCAAAAAAATTTCAAAACGAAAGTAAAATAATTAATATGAAATCCTATTTCTTTATATCTTAAATATATATTTTAAGTATTCATAACATATTTAATAGATATAAATGCATTAAAAAATATAAATAAATGAAGTTATTGTTTTTTTTTTTTAATTTTAACTTTTATATAAACAAACGTAACAGCTCCAAAGCACTCATGATATTTCTTAATATAAAATTTTATTCACATATTCTTAAATTAGTTCAAAAAAATTATTTTAAAATATAGTAATATACACCCATACACAAAATAATAATGCATGATATGGTTGATCATGTCTCTTGATTCAAAGATAATTTCACATTGGGGATATATTCCTATGATTACGTGAAGTGCTTGATGGGTGAAATCCTTGATATGTTGCTTTAGTATGTTTTGGGATTTCTCTAGATATGACACGAGGATTATCCTTTAACCATTGTTCAAGTTATCTTTTGAATATAACACGATGAGCTAAACGGTATATAAGCTCCCCCCAATTTCAAGCTTCAAAGGAGTGAAGGAGTTATTAGTGTTTTTGCCTTTAGTATTTTGTTGATTGAGTGATTGAGCAGTTAGCATATAGCGCACGTTTTTATGGTTTTCTCACGTGCTTTAATGAATAATGATTAATGTTTCAATGATTATATTTAGGTCATTCATTATGTCCTGGATTTTGAACATGCACTAGTATAAAAAGGGTAATTTACATTGGTTATTTTAAGTTTTTTACGCCAGAAAAAGGTCTAACGTTAATCCGGGAGACGTAAATTTACGTCGGTTATGATGGCCGACGTAAATTTACGTCGGACATTACCAAGAGCTAACGTAAAAAAGTTATAAACAAAAAAAAACATAACGAGTGCAAGGAGAACGGGTTGTTCTGCTTGGAAAACGGGTCATTCTGCCTGGAGAACGGACTGTTCTGCTTGCAGAACGGGCCGTTCTAGATGCAAAATCAAAATCCTCTACACAAAACAAACTTACAAACTTAAGAATCATGAGAGTTACATACCTTACCTGTAGATGCTCCATATCCTGAATAATCATAGCTGAAAGCATAACACAAAAATGAAAGAAACTAAATAAACAGAAGACTAAATATATCATGCATGAGTTTAGACTTTAGAAACAAAGTAAAAAAGCAGGAATTTTTGGTGTTGGTGTGTTACTTCTAACGAAACTGAAACCGAAGAAGGAAAGTGAAGAGTGGTAGAAAATATATCCGACCTAAGCGGTTGAGCTTCTTCTTTCTCTCACACCGTTTTCACATGTCTCTTGTTTTCAAATACTGACGCGCGCGGGAAGATTAATGGACCTTTTTATGTCAGTCCTCCTTATGTCTGACATAAAAAAGTTCATAAAAATTACAAAAATGCCACCGCACCTTTTTTACATCGGTTTTTGGTATCTCCGACGACAAAGAGGTGACGTAAAAGACTGATTTTCCACTAGTGATGGTCCATTGATCAGGAAAAAGAGGGGTTAACGGTTCTGCCATTTGTTTTAAGATTGATTTTTAGGGACTATTCATTTATTGCTTTGTTGTACTTTTTCCAACATTTTTTTGTTGTTGTTCTAGTTTCCTACCTTTGTTCTAGTTTATTAATGTTTCAGGTATCCCTTTTCACCTTTGTTGCTTTTTATTTTTCGGCTCGTGTTGTATTTGTGTGTGTTTGAATGGGGAAAGGGGTTTGTGATTGTCTTTTGGGGATAGGGACTCCTCGATGCGCGATGAGGTTGCCTAGTGAGAATGCTCTTGCTGCTATCCTTAAAGGGACATCTAGTATGGGTGGTGCAAAGGTGATTATTGTTGGCCTAGTTCAACAAGTGGTGATGGCAAAGCCCATCTCTGTTAGGGTTGAAGAATTTGTAGAGTCATTGTTAGAGGAATTGAGTGAGGATAAGGGTAAAGGCCCTTTGAACAAGGAGGGCTATGAATGGGTGAATAGTGAAGGGGATTGGTATGAAAATTAGTTACGTATAGAGGAGGAAGTGGTGGCACTACTTAGCAGTTATGTTTATTTGTTCCTTCTGATTCTCATTTGTTTATGGTTTTTCCCTATGCTAAGGACGATCGAGTATATTTGGGCGAGGAGATTTATTCTTGCTCGTTTATGTACATGTATTGTTGCGTCCTTCAATACATTGAGGTTACTTTACCTTTCAGTACTCTTAAATGTAAGCTTTTGAGACAAGCGAATGTTGCCCCGAGTTAGCTTCATCCAAGTAGTTGGGCGTTCCTTCGAACCTTCCAGGTGTTGTGTACCTATGTGGGGATGGGGCCAACCTTGGCTAAGTTCATGTTCTTTTACCAAATGAAGGAGAGTTCGCCTATAGGTTGGATTTCTTTGAATGAGTGGAAGAAGAGGGGTTTGTTTAGTTTGTTTACCCAATCCTATAAGGGTTTCAAGAGTAATTATGTTCATATAGAGACGACTGTTGGGCATGAGATAGGGAATTCTGTATTTTAGGGGTTTGATGGCCGACCAAGTTTCCCCAGTATTGGAGGGAGAATCCCCATAGATTCAATAGTGAGGGAAAAATGAGGATTACAAAGATCGAAGTTTGTGAGTGTAATGAGTTGGTGAAGCTACCTCATCCTTTAAATGTGAAGGTTGTGCTCGCATTACTGAGCGTTGTTAATCTTGATCGAGCTTTGGAGGGTGATTTTGGTTGTCTTAGGTGTTTTACCTTTTTCCTTTTATTAGTGTTGTTTGTTGTGCCATGTTATGATACAATGTTGGTTTTTGTGCAAGTTTAATGGGGAATAATATGTGAAAGTAGTTGAAAACGAAGTTTAAAGTTGACAGTGATGAGTCCATCGACCAACAGTTGTGGTCAAATCAATTAAGGAGGAGGTGGTGGCACCTCCCTTAGTGAGGAAACAAAACAATGTTGGTGTTTTGAGTACCACTACTCATCCCACATCTTAATCACCCAAAAGAAGATTGACTAGGTTGGGGGTAAGTAGGCCCACTGGTTTGGCTGTACGAAGAATAGAGCCTTTTTTTGTGAAAAACAAAAAATGGGGAGCTCGATTCCAGGTTAGATAGTTGATGAGATTGCAACAATTTCAAAAACTAAGCATGTGAGGGGCTGAAACTCAGGGGGTCGAGAGAGGGTTGCCACCAAGGAGGTAAAGACGATCAATGGTGTGCTAGAGTCACTGGTGGTGGATGATGGGTCGAGCTTATTGATGTTGATAATAATGGGAAAGGTCTTGCATCTCCCAAGGGGTGGTCAATTCAACGAGCCAACCTTGGCGAGGGTTTAACTTGTTCTACGGAGGGAGTGTAATAAGCTTTTGTGGGAGCTTCTCGTAAAAAAGTTAAGGAGCCATTTTGTTCTCGTTTGCAACCACAAGGGGAGGTGCAAAGGTTAGATCATATATTGACTAATTTTGTTACAGACTTGTTATGAGGTCACTGCAAGAATTTTGCGGATTAGCAAGGGAATTTAGCGAGGGATATAAACCCAAGCTATTTGCTCGCTAATTAGCGAGGGACTGGCGAGGAACATAGTTCCTCTCTAATCCCTCGCTAATTAGCGAGCAAATAGCTTGAGTTTATATCCCTCGCTAAATAGGAACATTTTGCAACCAACCTTTATCTCCTTGCAAATCCGTCGCTGAAGTTAGTGCTTATTTAGCGAGGAATTTAGGCGCTCGCAAATGCCTTGCAAATCCCTCGCCAAATTATGAGCCAAAATAAAAAAACAAATTTTTCATCTAGCGATGGAGATTTTGTGTCGCAAATCCCTCGCTAATGAGTTATAAGTATAGCCCTCGCAAATGCCTCGCAAAGCCTTCGCAAATTAGTGAGGGAAAAGTTATTTCGCTAATCCCTCGCAAGTTTAGAGAACAGGACCCTCACAAATTGGTATTAACTCCCTCGCAAATTTAGAGAATAAATCCCTTGCAAATTGCTTTATAGTGTGTTTGGATGGGTAATTTAAATGGAGTAATTCATTTATTTGAAGAATTTCAAATTTTTTGAGGTGAAATAAGTTGTTTGGATGAAGAATTTATAAATAATTTGAAATTCAAGTATTTGTAAATTTTCTTGAAATAGTAAAATTTTAATTTCTCCTAAAAAAGTAAGAATTTGAAATTCCTCATATTTTTTTTATTTTTATTTTACTTATATATTTTATCTTATATGTTATCTCTTCATTTTTTTAATTATTGAATATTAAAAATATTTTAAAAATTATTAAATATTATCTAATATTAATTTTAAAAATTATTAAATATTATCTAACATTATATATTAAATAAAACTATTGATTAAAAGATAAAGTATATAAATTTTTAGACTTAATTTATTGAATAAGAAATTCAATATATAACGTAATTACATTCATTAAATAACTCTTTTAAGAGTTACTTTTGAAGTAACTGAATTTTCACTCATATATATTTTTTAAAACACACACACACACACACATATATATATATATATATATATCATCATAAATGTTAAATATAATTTATATGTTTACAATATGAATTTAGTCCGTGTATGTTTTGTTTTCTTAATTTTGATAATTTAAAATATTTTTGTTTATTTTGATTTAGATATGAATTTAGTCTTTGTAAGTTCATGTTTTCTCAATTTTAGTTCTTATAAATTTTAATTTATCTTTGTCTTTATAAATATGTATTTTTCAAATTTTAGTTCTTTAAATTTTAGCTGAACAAGCACAACAAGTTTACTACACAAGATACCCACAAAGTGGGGGTAGATCTAGTGATGAATGGTGGGCAGCTTGCAAAGTTAGACCAAAACTTTTTATGGCTGGGGGATTAAATGATGAATTTGGTGGATCAAATGAGCTAACTTATACTGATTATTATCAAGATGATGGATCCATAAAAGCGCACCAAAGTGTTATACACGATGAGACGATCCATTGTTTGATGGAATTGCTCCAATGGAAGATGTAGGCAACAATGATATACATCATCCAATGGACAACTTGCATCATGATCACTTCATTGATGATATTGAAGATGATGAGATTGAAGATATTAACGAGTTCATAGATGATGAGAATTATATGATTCAGAATCTAGTTATGATTAACAACTTGATTTTGAAAGGTGATGAATATATTCTAAAAGGTTTTAGTTTCAACACATTACACATAATTACTCATTTTTTAGTGTTAAAATAAGAAATAGATAAAAGGGTTTCTAATTGGTACTAGTATTGCCTTATTTGATTACTTGTGGTTCTTTATGACTTTAATTTCCCATATAAATGATCACTTTTTGTTGTTTTAATTTTATGTAGGTAATCATTATGCCAACTACTCGAGGAAGAGGGCGTCGGGTTAATCAAGCCAATAATCCTCATCAGCTCACTCAAATTGCTTCGAATCCTCCACCACATGTTTCTCATCACTCACCTCGTACACTTTTAGAATAACATTTTAATTATTAACTCTATATTTATTTAAATGCAATGGATAAAATCTAACTTTTCTTTACTATGTTTGTCTAGGTGATGGATCTACTAGTTCATTAGCTAATGGTGGTGCTACATCAGCTAGTGGTGGACAATCATCTGATACCACCCCCTTGATTAATGGTGGTGAATCAAATACTATCCCAACATCTGATAATCAACAACCTACTATGGTGCCTTCAAGTGAAGATTCTAATGTAGAAGTTGATAGGAGGCAAATAATATCCGTGGAGGCAGTTTCTAAACCGTAAGTAAAATTGAATTTATGAATATGATTAATACTTTAAATTCATGTTATTGAACTATTTGTGGTTTGAATTGAATTATAGGAAGAGGTTTGCTCAACAATTTGTGACTCGTGATATCATTTCTGAGGTAATGTCAAGGATGCCTTATGCTGCAGATTGTTGGAAAAGTTATTGCCCTGAAATGAAAGAAATGTTATTTAATGATTTTAAGGTAAGTAATTAATCTAATAGTATTATATATTATATCATTATATCAACAACTATTTTTTTTTTCTTCAGTTGTATTATTGCAGGAAAAATATCGTTTTGCATCAGAATATGATCGTGTGATGGCGAGGGAAGTTTGAGAAAAAACATGCATGGATAAGTATTCTGATCAATTGTGTAAAGATAGGGATAAAGCAATAAAAGTAGCAAACTCAAGAAATTATGAGGATTTAAGAGCTCACAAGCCTAGAGGGATGAAAACTGAAATATGGAATGGGTTGATCGACATTTGGAAGACACCAGAATGACAAAAGAAATCTATTTCTGGAAGACAAAACAGGGCTGCCCAGCCTGAAGCAATGGTGCACACAGGAGGGTCAAGAAGCTTCAGGCAACACAAAAAAATTATGGTAATCAAATCATATTGAATTTTGTCAATAATTAATGAGTGAAGTTTGCTTTATTCCTATTCTAATATGATTGTTTTACTTAGATAATCCATGGTAAAAGTTACTTGTTTTTTAGATTTATTAATTTAGCTAATATTTGGAATTTGTTACAATTAAAATTGTGTTATTAATGATGTCTTTAAAAATTTTCTTTACCCCTGGATTTTTTTTAAGTGCAGTTTTTTTTTTAATTCTTTAACAAGATATGAAAGTTGAAGGTTTTGAAAATTAATGAGTTTCTTTGGTAAATTTCATTACTTACAATTTGTATTGTAATCTTTTTACAGGAGGCACAACAGAATCGTCATGTTTCTTATTGTGAAGTGTATAACAAAGTTCACAAAAAAAATGATGGTGAATTTGTCTCAACTAGGGCAAAGAAATTTATTGTATGTTATTTTGTATTAAAAGATTGATTATGTATTTTTTTAACCTCTTGCTATTTCACTTATCTTTTTTTTGTTTATTATTTGTAGGAAACATATGAAGAATCAATGAAACAAAAATATGGAGAAGACACTTCATCTCATCCTGTAATTGATTTTGATCTTTGGTTAAAAGTTGCATGTGAAAACAAGAAAAAAAGTGTTCATGGCATGGGACATAGCTTGGATCTTGGAACTAGTAGCTCTACACAAGCTTCATCTCCAGAGGTTGCAGGTTCCTCTACAAATCTTACGCCTATGACAGAAGAATGGGTCATCACAATTATAAATAATGCATTGGCCTTTTTTTGCAAACATAATTACCAGAGATGATGAGGCAAATAATTCAGGCAATTCAACCATCAACAACACCATCAACCAACCAACATAGGGAGGATCAAGGACGAGATGATGATTTTACTAGCTTAGGTTGATTACTATTTAGGATGACTCGTTATTTAGCTTTTCTTTTTGTAAGACATTGATTAGTTTGGGTTTTTTTAAGACAGTATGCACAAGTTGGATTTTGTAAGACATTTAACAATTTGGTTTTGTAAGAGATATTGTTACATGCAACTTTTATTTTAAATCATGTCCAATTGAAAAAATATTATGTAGTTGATTTAGATTTATTTTAAATATCAAATTAAGTGGCATATCTACAGGGATTCATGAGAGAATAATGTATATATATAGATAAATTGGGAAGGTTTCGCGAGATATTAGCAAGGGATTCGCAAGGAAACTCAAAAGATATGTTGTGAAGGTTTCGCGAGGGATTAGCGTGGTATTTGCGAGGGTACTCAATCGATATGTTTTGATGGATTTGCGTAGAATTAGCAAGGGATTTACGAAGGACACATTTGCGAGGTGTTAGTGAGGGATTTGCGAAGGACATATTTGCGAGGGGTTAGCGAGGGATTTGCGAAGGACATATTTGCGAAGGGTTAGCGGGGGATTTGCGAAGAACCTCAATTGATATATTGCGACAGAGTTGCGAGAAATTAGCAAAAATATCGCGAGGGATAATTGCGACGGAGTGGCGAAAGATTAGCGAGGAAATAATGAAAAAATATTTTGTGATGGAGTAGCGACAAAGTAGCGAAGGATATCTTGCGAAAGTTTTGCGACGTGTTAGCGAGGAAATATTAAATGCAATTAGCGAGGGAATTTGGGTTCTGCATTTGCGAGGCGATAGCGATGAATTAGTGGCACAAATTTGCGATGGACTAGCGAAGCTGGTTGCGAGGGAAAAGCGAGGGAATGTAGCGAGGGAATTGCGAGGGATATGCATCCGTCGCTAATTAGTGACTTGAATTTAGCAAGGTAATAGTTCTTCGCAAATCCTTCGCTAGTCCCTCGCCATTTTGTTTAGCGAGGGATTTGCGAAGGATCTTTCCCTCTCTAATTCACAATTTTCTTGTAGTGGGTGTTGGTAAGTTGAGTTCAAATTTTTACCAGGTTGCTCATTTGAGTGATTTTGGCTATCGTATGGTGAAAGGAGCAAGGCCGGAAGGATAGATAGCAATTGAAGGGAATATAGTGCCAGGGTGATTCAAGAAAGCTCTCATGCTGAGGGGCCTTTTCGCTCTAAAGAGCCAGCTTCAGGAAAGGGAGCATGGGTTGGAGCAACTAGTTGTGAGGGATAAGGAAATTATGTTGTTGAAGGCTGAGTTGGATGCTATTCATGCTAATAAGGCAACCTCAACAACAATATGTGCTCGCCTTGAGGTTGAGAAGAGAAAACTTGTAGGGAAGAAAAAAGCCTTGATCGGTTGAGGTAGCCAAGCTTGTTGTTGAGCAAGTGATAATGTTAATATTTACTTATAATTATTGGTCAATTTACATTAACAAAATAAAATTTTCTTTAGCTTTTAACTAGCTTAGTCCAACTTTTGATGATTTTTTGTAATTAATTCGATATTGGTTACCATTATCTAATTATACCATTAATCATCTTTTTTTGTCTAATATTTGCTCAGCAGGTAAAATTGGATCAAGCCAAGCAAGAAAGAATACATGGCAATGAAGAAGGAATAATTTTTGAAGACGATGTTGAAAATCCTACAGCGTCGAACACCACTCTTATCATGTTTGACATCATCTTGGTAGAGAGCATCAGGCTCTCTAATGTCGGGCACCACTCTACCCACACTCAGCGCTAGTTAATTTAGCAAAAAGTCCCTGTTTCACCAGCATCGGGTCGACACCACACATTCCACGCCCGACATGGTCTTGGTAGAGAACAACCATTCCATTTTTTTATGCTCATGTCTAGCATGGCTTAACTTACGTCAGGTGCCATTTTTATGACTTGACACTTTTGGCTCACCTTTTCACTCTCTCTTCGAGGGATTTGGGGCATTATTCATTCTCTCTCGACTTGGACATGTTTTAGGGCTATTTTGGAGGTTGTTAAGATTCCCATCATGACCTTCAATCTTTCCAATGACTCCATTTTCCATGATTGATCTTATTGTACTTTTTGTGCTCTTTATGACAATGAGGAGCTAAATTCATTCTTGTTTAGGTTATATGTAACATATATATATATATATATATATTCCTTTCCATTTCAATGTTAATATTTTATTGGCTAAAACCCTATTTTGGTCCCTTATATTAATTGTTTGTTTCAATTTAGTTCCATTTTTATTTTTGGTTTCAATTTGGTCCCAAACTAATTAATTGGTTTCAATTTAGTCCCAAATTAATTAATTGGTTTCAATGTGAGACTTCCGTCCAAATTATTTAAACAGAGTTAACTTTTGGCCACATGGATGCCATGTAGATGCATACGTGGATGCCACGTGGATGACAATTTTTGGCTAAAAACCTATTTTGGTCCCTTATAATAATTGTTTGTTTCAATTTAGTCCCAATTTTATTTTTGGTTTCAATTTGGTCCCAAATTAATTAATTGGTTTCAATTTGGTCCCAAATATATTAATTGGTTTCAATTTGGGACTTCCGTCCAAATTATTTAAACGGAGTTAACTT